GCTCGCTGGAGAAACACACCATTTATAGTGACATCCCTTCCAAATTCTGTCTTGTCCCATCAAAGTCTGACAAAGCCTTTTCATTAGGGTTGTTTTACAGATGCTTGTAGTCAACGTCCTCAGTTCCTCATTCACAGGAAGCTCTATCATTGCTGCTAATTGTCTCTTTTACAGGAACACCTCTGGGCCCTGCTGGGATGAGTGATGAGCTTGTCTGCAATCAGGGGTTTACCAGGCAGTGGTTGGGAGGGGACAGGCCAGCAGGAGAAGCTGGAGGTGCCACCAGGTTGGGGAAGGATTAGCTGGAGTCCTTGCTTTCTTCCTTCTCCCTTTCTGGCTTTTCTGGGGATAGTCCTGGCAAACTGTATGTTCCTGGGAGATGCTGTGGTGTGAGGGATGAGGAGATATGCTCTGTGCTTCAAGATGAAGGTGCTTCAAGAAGAACCCCCCCTTCAAAGCTGTGGGGGGTTTTGTGTGGCTCATCCACATGGTATGCCCTGGTTTGGGACCGTGGGAGCTCCCTCTTTCTTTGACTTTGCCCCAAAATTGTACCTGTCTCATATGTTTTAAAAATAAAGGCCCAAAAGCCTGGTGCTGTGCTGATTTGGCAGGCTCTGGCTTGGTCAGGCAGCCCTTGGGCTCTCAGTGCCAGGTGGGCTTCCAGGTTTTTCTGGCAGCTGGGAAATTGAAAATTTTTCCCTTCCCTTCTCCTTGGGGAAAAAAAAAAAAAAAAAAAGGAAAGAAGAAAATAAAGGACTGGAGCTTGCTAAGGGTTTTTTGTTACCCTGCTAGGCTGTGCACAGCATGGCTCCCAACAGCCCTCAGGGCTCTGGTCCTCTGCCTTCCCATCCATCTTGTGGCTGTCACATCCCTGCTAACTTGAGGATGTTGCTGTGAAGGAGGAGTGGAGACCCATCCACTGCAGCTGCACACTGTGACCTGTCTCAGATCACAGATTTCAATGCTGTCATTTTTCCTGTGATGAGGTTTGTGTTTCTGTGCTGAGTGGGGCAGGGTTGGGACATTGCCCAAGTTCCCAGGTGGAGTTTGTCCCATGGCTGTGTCCTCCCCCAGCCATCAGACCTGGTGGAATATTACCTGCATGATGCTCTGCAGCTTCAGGCCAGGTATGAGATGGGATGTTGGAAGTGTTCCCTGTTCTTTGTGCTCTGCTCCTCGGATACTTCCAGGTGGGGTTAAAGCTATCTGCAACCCTCCTGTAAAGCAGCAGCCAGAGTAATGCACAGAGTGGGTCTCTCTGTTGTATCCCTCCAACTTGTCTAGCTTAAAGCTGCAATCCCATGTAAAACCCTATGAGGAATGTTCTGTTGCCACCAGTGACACAAATCACTAGGTGGGTGATGGGATTTCCTCCATCCTGCCCTTTCCCCACAGATGGAGTAGCAGGGGGCAGTGGGGTGAAATCAGACTGGCTTTTTGGGTGTAGGCTGTTCCCTTGTGCCAAATATTTTACTTTCATGTACAACCCCCTCCCCAATGTCTGCTGGGATGCTGCTGCCCTGGGTAGCCTCATCCTGTCCAGCCCTTGTCATTGCCCTGCAGGCATCAAGGCAGCAGCTCCTGAGGCTCAACATGAAGCCCAAGGGCTGAGGGTGATTAGATGCAAGTTAGATGTGCCTGGGGGGGGATCCCCATCCTGGCAGGTAGCCCTCACCCCTGGAGGGTTGGATCACCCTGCCTTGGATCTGAGCCTTGCACGTGGTCTGTCCCCATCACCAGCAGCTGCCTCATCACTGCCTGCTCCTCTGCCAGGAGCTCTTGTGCTGCTGATGTTTTTAATTATTAGGGGAAGTATATAAAGCTGATGGATGATGTGATGGTGATACTACTGACACAGCCTTAGTAGAAACTAAGGCTTGCAGGAGACTTTTGTTACTGGAAGCCTGCTTTTGTCCGAACACATCCTTCCATCAATTCTTTTGTGAGAGCTAAAAGTTGGCTGGCTTTAGTGGAGTTAATAATCATCTGAAATGGAGTTGAGCAGTTGATGCTGCTGCATCAAAATGTTTCCCTCCTCCCTTCCCCCCCCACTTCTCCCCAAAAAGAAATTCCTGGCTTATACTCAAAATCCAGTTCAGTTCTCACTGTGAAAGTATTAAACTGTGGGTCTTTTCTTTCAAGTTTCTGGATTTTTATGGGCACAATCAGTCTGTTAACAGGACTTTTTTTTCCCTTTTTTTTCTGGTGTGTGTGGTTTCAATGCATTTATATCACTGACCTTTGCTTTAAAAAGTGTCTGACAGTCTTTACTGGGCTGGAGCTATGAAAAGGAGTGTTGTAAGGGGCTTTATTCTATGGAAGCAATGACCACAGGCAACGCTTTATATTTGCTGAGTGATTTAATTCTTGCACATGCAGAACTTGGCTCTGTGCCGTGTGTAACATGTTGAGAAAAGGGTCTGCTGGAGAGGCATGAAAACCAAACTTTCCAAACCATGTCTTTTTTTTTCCTAAATAACTTCCTTTCCTGTTATTTTTAAGCTAATGAGTAAAACCAAGGGATGCAGGGCCAAAATGCTGCATTGGACCTTACTAGAGTCATTGGGGAAATAAACTTCCTTTGAAGAAATGAAGTGAGAGTCTGGGTGGAAGAGGGCCATCCAGGAGGAAGAGGAGGGTGTCACTAAGATAAAGGCTTGATCAAGGGACAGGAGAGAGTAAACTGGAGCACCCTGGACTCCAGGAGGGAGCTTGAGATGGTGATGATTACCCAGCTCTAGTGCGTGGTCCTGTAAAGCCCAACATCTGCCTGGGGATGTGTTTTCAGGCTAAATATCAGATCCCCATCAAATTAGCTGCTTTTTGTTGCTTGGCTCTGCCCATCCTCTGCCTGCTTACAGGAATAGCTGTCCGGTAGCTGTCAGAAGCAAATAAAAACAAACTGTTTTTTGTTTGCTCTTGTTCTAAATACTGTGACAACATTTGGATTAATGGCAGGTCTTGTGAAAAGCTCTTTACAAGTCAAACATACTGAGCTGCTTAACAGCATCCCTTTCAATTCTGCATCTGCCTGCTGCAATTCCAGATAATGGTCTGGATAGCAAGGAAACATCTTATTTCTTTTTCCTTCTTGTAATCAGTCCATTAAGTATGCCTGAAGTTTCATATTCTGGAAGTACTTAGTTGTGTAGCCACTTGGGCTGAGTTCTGTACTTTGGTGTGCCTTTGAGTATTTCCTCTTCCTTTGGCAAGCAAACAAACAACAGAAATACTAAATTATGTTAATTTCTACCAGAAGCAATGTCTTCCCAAAAACATTGCCATCTACTGCATTTTAATTAAGACTAACACATCAACAGTGCATCAAGCCATTGGGAGCCTCAGCCTTTATCAGTTTTAATCAGCAGATTTTTAAGGGGCTTTTAGAAGCAAATTGTGCATTGCTCGTTCTTCCCCAGGAGGAGGGAGGGAGAACAATAGATCATCTTCAGGCACACTGAACCCTGAAATACTGAGTTAAAACAGTGAATGAATAGGGTGGAGGTTGTACAGGGGCAGAGCAATGAGGAGGGCGCATCCAGGGGTGTCTGGGGGATGCTCCATGTGTGGTACCTGCAGCTGCAAATAAACCCATCGCCTGGAGGAGACCAAAGGATGATTATTTGGGTTGCTGGCCTGGCTTCCCTGGGCAGGATGCAGGGGTTGAGGTTTCCTGCAGGTCGCTCCAGGGCTGTGGGAGATGCACAGAGGCACTTCTGTGCTCTCCTGTCCCTCCGAAAGAACCTTTTATCCATTCCTGTGGTTTCTGAGAGCTGAGCCTAAATGCTGCTGCTATATAAAGTCACTTATGAAAGCAATAGGTTTGAAGCCTCTACGTGGAAAGGCTGATAAGGAAAGCCAGTGGGTGAGGATAACCCCTGCTTTTATAGCCTCCTGCTGGTGCCAGCTCACACCACTGTCCTCTGTTCTAGCTCTGTGGAGCTCCCCCTTCCACCCAGGCAGCTTCTGAGCCCAAGGAGCTCCTGCCTGGGGTTGGCTGTACTGGAAACCCCTAGGGAAGGGGGAACCTTCTCTTGTCTTTCCTTGATTCCTG